TATATATAACGGATATGGAGCGAGGCGGGGAGGACGATACTTGTCCCCGTCCTCATCCCTGGCTTGAGACAAACAAGATCCCTGTCTCCGTCCCCATTCCCGATTTAGCGAAGAATCCCCGTCACAGGCACGGTGGACCGGGTTCCCTGACGGGTCGAGACCCATTCTCATGCCTAGTTGAGAGAGAAGTTGGCAAGGGTAGAGGAAGAGGTGTGAATGCTGGAGGAACGCCATCTGGTTGAGATGGAGCCCGAACGAAAGAGGAGGGCAGATTTGGAGGTCGAACAGGTAAGACAAGCTGTTGCATTAGCCGAACAGGTCAGACAAGCTGTTGCATTAGCCGAACAGACCGCCTTATCGGAGCATTTTGCTGCGTGTATGCAACAGTCGAGATACGTTTTCCCCTCTCCCCCACCTCCGTTAGTTAGATTGTATGAATTTTAATATTAATTTGTACGAATTTGATATTTTAAATCGTATGAATTGGTTAATTTTAATTTGTTCACAGTTTTGTTTTATTATATTATGGTCAGGTTTTGTATAAATAAATACATAAATTATATAATTATAAATTATTTATTTTTAGATTAATAAACATTAGTGACGGATTAGCGAGGGAAAATCCGTCGCTGAAAGTCCTTCCCCTTCCCTCGCTAAAAGTCCCTCCCCGTCCCTCGCTAAAAGTCCCTCCCCGTCCCTCGCTGATCCGTCACTGAAAGTTCCCCTCCCTGATCTGTCGCTGAATCTGTTCTCTCGTCGTCGCTAAAAGTAACCCTTGCAAATCCGTCGCGGATAGCATTACCTACAAGCTTTTGACCGACAAACTATCAACGACGGATCAACGCCAAAAGACCCTATTAGCAATGGATTTGCAAGGGAATTTTCCCTTATTGACACTCTTCATTTTTGTATTGATAATAGATGTTAAATTGGAAAATTTAATTGTTTTGTTTAATTTATTTTAGCCATTACATGAAACCGGAGGAGTTTTTGATTAATGCTTGGGAAAGAAAATGGAATAAAAATGAAAATGACGCGAAATAAAAAGAGAATTAAATTCAGACTCCTGAAAGAATGAACTTATTTTACTATATAATATCAAACAGTTTCTTTTATTTTTATTTTCATTGATTACTGCTTAATACTTCTAACTAAACACCCCATGAAAATATGAAAACAAAATCCCGCTTAAACAAAGCTCCCCACGATCTTGTTTTTAATCTTGCTTCTTGAAATTGATCAAATTGTAATTTCTAACAGAAATAATTTTAATGACATAGAAATACTTTTAATTACATGTAATATTAAAGTTGGATTGTAATTTCTAAAATAAAATGACAAACATCACATGAGCTATACCAGTAATGGCAAAGAATCGTGTGAGAAGTGTAAGAAGATATATGAACCCTTAATCACTTTAAATCTCATGCCCACCCATGAATTACGTTTTAAAAAGTAATTGATCTGATGCATCTCAATTGTGTTGATATTCAATTACTGATTGATCCAAAAATGAATGATCTTTTTTATGTTTCTCACCATAATTTCCCTTCTCACCGAAACTCAACCCTACCAGTAATTGGGTCCCTTTTTCGGTTACAAAATTATGTCTTAAACCCTAAATATTACTTTAAAATTATATTCCCCAAAACAGAAACTCGAACAAATTCTGTTCCAAAAAACATATTCAAATCAAATTACCCTATGTTTTCAAGCATCAAAGGATTCGATAATTGTAGGTGTTCGAACCAGCTTATGCACACCTCAACTAATCCCTAAAGAGAAAGGTAGTTCAACCAACAAATAAAGATAAGGCCTTAGGGCTCCTCCCAGTAGGTCTGGTCGCTAGTTCGAGTCTCTTTAAAGCCAATGAGATTTCTATGACGGTTATTTTCAGGGACCCATGGAATTAATAAAGGTGCATTGCAAGACGACTCAACACTCACGGTTAACAAACAAATACCGATCCTTAGGAACCTGAAGTTAACAGTCAAGTAAACCCTCACCATCAGTAACCTTGCAAAGACTTCAACCAAGGTGACCTTTGGAGAGAAACTCAAAGTTTTACCGGTCGAACTATCCCTCGATGTTAATTGTCAAAGAACATGCAGAGAGAAGAACAATTCCCCTCTCTCTAATGAAAAAGGGTGGGATGAATTACAGGAGATCATATTACATTACAACAAAAATGATTTAATAATCAATAAATAATAATAAAATGGTAATATGTAAACAGAGAAGACTACCAAAAGATTATATGCATGGCCCCTTTGATATTTCAGGAAGGGAAATGCACATTTTATCAACAATCACATATTGTAACATATATATATATATATATATATATACTAGGATTGACTATAATAGCCCTGGGAGGCTACACATGTATAAACTTGTTATATGTTGCATACTACAAGTTACCTGCAACCCTTCAACAGATAGGAAGACGGACTCGAGAAACTTGCACCCTCCGTTCCTTTGCTGGGACTTCCACATTCACTGAAATCCAGCACCCTTCTCTCTGTCTGCAAAGAGACCGTAACATGAATTCATGACAACGGAAGTTTCAGATAATTTAGTCGGTTTCAAGGAAAGGGAAATGTGAACTTGTGTGTGAAGCAAAGTTGCAATCTTTCTTCCTAACATCAATCATGGAAATGCATTTGAACTCATGACATGTAATGCTGTTAGAGCAGAAACCAAATGGTATTCTTATATCTTGAAGATGGTTAGAATTAATAGCTCATGAGCAAATGTGCCAAATACTGATGTTTTCTTTTTTTACATGCGAATCCACTTAAATTCATGGGATATAATGCAAATCTACATGCAAATACACTTGAATCATGGGTACTCCAAATGGTTTCTTATAACATCAAAATGAGCCATATAGTCAGAAGACATCTCCAACAATAAAATTTATACCATTTTGCTAAAAACTGGTGTAAAAACAATAATTCTTGTTTCTTTGAAGTACATGATAAGTATATATGGCAAATACTCACACACTCCATGCCTTTGGTGGGGTTTGAACCCTTGACCTCCTGAGAGGTTGGACTCTACCGGTAACACAGGTACCATTGAGGCAATGACCCTTTGTTAATAAAAAAAATGTTGTAATTAATACTGTTACTCAATTCGGTGTGAAAAACTGGAAAGCCCATCGGAGCAATTTGGTGTCAAAAATGGAGTTTGGAGTACCCATTGGATACGGTCCGAATAAGGCTGCTTGGCCAAATAGCTCATACATAAATGTGACAAACACTCAAGGGTTGCTTGATTTGGTTTTCATATGGCCTTTATTGGAAAACAAAAGCATTGGCTTGATTAAGGTATACTCCAGGTTATAAAGGTTGTGCATTGGAACCTTATTTAAACATCACCAAAAAGGAAAAGAGAAAAAAGTAATTCCCACATATAAACAAGACATACCAAGAGATTTGATTCTTGCCGACTCCTTTCCCCCTTCTCTTCATATCTCTTCTTAAGTATGGAATCAGGAGTTTCATCTCCCAAGACCTCCTGAGCATTTGCATATGCAGGAGCAGTATGCTCACTTAACTGTTTCATTAACCCAAGAGCATCATAGCTTCTTTCCCTTGGGCTCACAAAGTAACCAATATCCTGCAAACAGCTCCACATATCAAATGAAAAAGAACATAAAATGATTTTTGATAGCATAATTTTATCAAATGAAACTTCACATTACCTCAATTGTTATATCTGTATCAACCCGTGGGCCAGGCAGAAATGAGAACCAAGGGGATTTCCATGCAGAAGGAGAATCAAAGCTTCTCTTGAAGGGAGTTTCACCAAATCTAGGAGGAAAAATAATCAGGAAAGAAATATTAGCAAGAAAAAGAAAGATCAAATCGTACACCAAAATGATTTTGCATGGCCGTCTCACGCCATGGTAATACAATTATAAATAGAACTAACAACTGTAGACATCTTACAAGCCAAAGGTTTCGACTGAAGCATCATTCCCAGATTTTTCAACAGTATTAGGAGCAGAGTGCATGGATGCAACAAGGCAACTTCCAGCCTTCTTCCCGGAAACAGTATGAGGGCTGACAAGGGATTGACACGGATTATCACAAGAAGATGCCATGGCAGTAACATGATCTGGCACAACTTCTGAACTACTGGAGCTTGTTTTTCCAGATATTTTAGCATTTGGACCCTTGGGTGTATCTGCTTTGGTGGTAAATTTATCAGGAGAAAAGAATGACAGATTATCCAAGTTCCGTTCCGTAAGAACTCCAGATGACTGTTGCACCTGACAAGACTGAAAAAAGTAATGTTGTTATACCAGAAAAGAACACAAAGAAATCTAATCCTAGAAATTGTAAAAAGGTAATTAACCCAAGATTAAGAGGTATAAGAGTACTTGGATAGAAAACGAAGCTCTATAAGTAAAGCATATCTGAAGTAAAGGAGTTAATGCGTAAAGGATAAATCAGAGTTTTCAATTTATATGTGAAGTCTAATTTAAGTAGTTTAGATTGGAGTTTTCAGCTTTGCACTCACTTTCGTTATTGTGCTGTTTCCACCGTCCTTTTCCCTCCCTTCAGTAGCAGGTATCACATTTTCTTTATCTTCAACAAATGGTCCATAATCCTCCTTGTGACTAAATGATGGTGACTCTTGGCTCTTACTGTCATCAAACATAACCTCCAACCTAGAGAAGTCTCTAGCCAAGTTGGAGAAAGAGGTGCGCTCTAACTTCTTTTCACATCTTTTCTCAGACAAAGGTGAACACAAATCACGATTTCTCTTCTTTAATATAGATGGTGTGCCTGTGAAAGTCTTGGCAGCACTTTTCAGCACAGCCTCTGGGCTGTCTGCTCGTGAAGGTGAGTCCCACAATCTGTATGGACTAAAACAGTTCCCAGATGACATCATCAGCTTCCGAATACCAAGAGGACTATATTCATGCTGCATTTCACCACCATATTGTACTAGATCACAGCTAAAGAATGGGATGTCCAAGCTTGGGAATCGAGGAGGATCATAAGATAAAACTCCTGTATCGTGCTGCTCGGTTTCTGAAACATGAACTTGATCAACTGACGGATCACTTTGGAGTTGTGCTAAACTAAACGCATCTGTAGGTACTACCTCCAAAGAATCGTTAACTTGATCTCTATGATTTTGTGACCCCACAATATCTTGACTATTGCAAAAATCAGTATTGCTAGAATCATTCGCGTAAGGAAGTCCATTATGGGCGTGCACAGGGAGTTCTTGATTGTTGATTGAAGGACCATTAAACTGATTGGATTCACTATTGAAGTTATTTGTACCTTGACCAGATGGTGGTTGTAAAGGCATGCATATAGACTGATAACATGGAGTTCCCAGCAAATCTGAATAATATGATTGTGAATTTATATTACTATCATTAGGAACTTCACCGTTTGATGGCTGATAAATTAACGAGTCTGCAGATCCATCTTCGTTGCTATTTGGACACTTGTACAAATTTTCAGAGGCATAGGACAAGGTAGATCCATCAGGTGGGTATATCACCCTGGAACAGTCATCTTCAGACATCAACATATGCTCTGCCACATCAGAAGCAACAACCAGGTTGCCAATTGAAGTAGAAGCGCCAAAATTGACAGAACTTTGAGTTGGATAGGGTGCCACTTCATGGTTCTGATCAACATCTATACAGTTTATGAATTCTGAGTCCTCACTCAAATCTAGTGAAGGGATCTTTTGTAACTCGTTGGAAGAAATCTGCCAATCTTTATCTGAAGTTACCCAATCATGTGAGAAACATTGTTCGACCATCTTGGAAGAATCAGACAATTCGCAAGGCAAACCTGAACTTGGATAAGAGCCAAGATCTTGATTAGAATTTTCAGCTGATTGGCTTTCATTTTGAGCATATCCAGCAATTGCATTTGCCATAGTGGCTTTTGAACATCCCCCAAAAGTTGAACCTTGACTGCAATCTGAGACATCCTCGGTCTCTGTAATATCTTTGGGAATGCTATCATCTCCACTATACTGTTGCACCCATGAGGAAGTAGAAGCAGTTGATTGATTCGTATGGCTGAAACGAGGCAACCCTTGGGACTGTGCAAGCAAGCCTGATGCCAAGTAGGAGTCCAATTTCTTCTTAACAGAACTGTTCCAATGATTCTTAATAGCATTGTCTGACCTGAGAACCACATCAGCAACGACGCATTACTAAGCACGAAAATTACAAATGAATTTAATGTAAAACTAAAATAAAGTCATGAATATTTTAACCTAATTAACATCTCTGGGGAAACATAGGATACAAAATTATGTGAAAGGACAAACTGTGTTCCATAATTTTCCAAAGAAAAAGTAAGCATACCGCCCAGGCAAGAATTTCGTTAACTCCGCCCACTTATTCCCATAGATTTGATGGGCGTTAATCAGCGCTAACTCCTCTTCCTGACTCCAAGCCTCCTTGTTTATGTTAGGATTCAGATGATTATGCCACCTGAATAGGTGTAAAGAGGACATCAGGTTAATGATAAAAAAATTATAGCAGTTCAGAACAGCAGAAACATATCATTGAGACTTGAAAAAGGTAAGATCTTAAAAATGTCGGTTGCCAAATCAGCAGGTAAAAGAAATATGAATTCACAACCCTAAGTAGATCCTGCTCTTGCGTGTCTAAAAGCTGTAAACAAGAAGATATTGGTTTTCAACTGCAAACAACTACAATATATAATATTCTAGGATACTATATACTGGGCCTGCTATCGATCACTGTCATCAGTCTTTAGTATCCACAGCCGGCAAACACATTTGTCAAAGGAAATGGTATAATCATGGGAAGAAACATATATTACCTCTCCCGACACTGCTTACCAATGCGACCAGGAAGGTGTTGTGCAATGGTGGACCATTTTTTGGCTCCATATTGCTCCACTAGACGAACTATTACTTCATCCTCCTGAATATGTTAAATGTGAAAGAATGAGTGATGTTTAACACAGGGCAGACAAGATAGAAGGTACAATGAACTACATGTGCAGATGATGCCGCAAAGAGTATGGCCAGTCACGAAAAAGACAATGTACTCGAGGCCATTTGCAGATTTAATATTATAATTTAGCCAATTTGACAGATATATCCATTTCCATTTTGCAATCAACAGTTCTCAAAATAATTGGTAGAAAACAATACACTTAAGCATCCCGGAATTGTCAGAGAAGCAGCCTGGAACCAGAATGTTTGTTCTATCATTTATGAAACGAACATTTGTCAAATTGGCTAACTGTCATCATGGTTTGTCAAAGTGCCATGTGGTTGGTAGTATCTTTATCCTTTTGGTAACACCCAGGAAATTATGACTAACCTCTTTCGACCATGGACCTTTAACAAGCTCTGGGTTCAAAACTTTCTGCCACCGATGCAAGCACTGGACATCAGTTCGATCCTTGAAACACTCCGCTGAACATGTCATATTGTTAGCGCATAAAAGAAATGTGTGTGCCTAATACTGTTCATCAATCACCCGCAGTTTAAAAATACAGACAAATATATTACACAAATTTGGTGGGGATTTAAAACTTCCTGCCAGCAATGCAAGCACCAAGAATCAGTTCGATGCTTGAAACACTAAGCTGATTATACCACGATGTTATGGTCTTTTTTTTTTGTCCTAGTAGTACTTATCATCTTCAACAGTTCAAAAGTTAAGACAAATTGGTTGTACATCCTTAAACCATAATGGTCCGGCTTCTAAAGGTCAAAGGAAAAAAACAATGTAGCAAAAGACCAGATATGAATTCCCCTTATATTTAAGATAAATTCATTCCCCTGTCTATACTATTATTACATACATAAAAGTATGAAAGGGAAAAACTAAGAAGACCATTATTACTGCGGGTAAATGTAGCAATCCAACCCATTTCAGTTGTGACATACTACTAGACAATAGGCTCAATAGCATACTCAACCAAACATGGAGGCATTGGTACTTTCCGAGGTCATGACTTCAAATAGAAGTTCTTGGATAAGGATAACTGATTCCTTTTACGGTTGCTAGGTTGCTCACCCCTTTCTACCACTTGTGACTTTTATAGCACTTGAGAATAATAAATAACTAAGTTAAACTTTGCCGATCCATGTATCTGAATTTTCTATAAAGACCAGTGATGAATGTTTTAATATGTTTACACACACGGAAAAAGCACTATAAGTAGTATTTCAACTTTTAAAATGTGGTTGACTCAAGCTTAAAGTAGGCCTTAGGCAAAGGAAAATTAAAATAGACCTAAAACCATTTTTAAATAGAACTAAAGTTTATTTTTCATAGTTTTTGAGAAACAAATTGATCAATTAGATCTTTATATTCAAGTTCATTTAATAAAACCTTCTCAATAGAATACAGTCAAGGTTTTAAAAAGCGGAATCTACCCTCGGCGAGGTGAGGGGTAAGCCTTGAGGCGGTCCAGGCGTCATCTTACGCACCATGGCAGATATACATATAATACAATATATATATATATATATATATATATATATATATATTAAATATATACAAAGCCGAAGAATGGAGAAGAAAAAAAATATAATATATATCTACCATATACTCTTTAAAGTGGGAAATTGGAGAAGTGGGAAATAATATATATGCGTGATGCTTTTCAAATTGGGAGACAAGTGAAGACGTTGGAGAAGACAAATGAAAATTACGAGCATCAAGAGAGTAGGAGAAATCAAGCAAGAGAATGAGCTTATTTAATAAAAACTAAAATGAGTAAGTCAATTTTTAAACCATAATTTCTAATGCCGCCTCAACATCGCCTCAGTGACCCGAGGCGTACGACTCAACTAACCCACAAGAGGCACCGCCTCATATTCGATGTTACAGTGCCACATCAAGGTGTGCCTCAAGTTATTTTCAAAACCATGAATATAGTTAATCCATTTAATATTTCTTGTGACATAGTTGATCTTAAATAAGATTTTCTTAATTTTAATTTTGAAAATTTTATTTTTCCACAAGCAATCGTCACTAAAGTTGTTAATAATAATCTTTTTATTATACCCTTTTTATTTACTAAGGTGTTCAATTATATTGTTAATTTTATTTTAAAAGATATCCCTCACAATTTTTAATTCTAAAAATAAATTTAAACCATCAATATGAGAAAAGTCATCGAATGTTGATACAATATATTTGAACATCTTTTTTAAACGTATAATCTAAATACTTTTATTTCAAAACTAAAATCAAAAATATTAACATACACTTGAAATTGCTCAAATCTATTTGTAAGTGATGAAATAATTTAATTCACTGTATACGCAAAAGAATATTCATCAACTGATTGTAATTAAATGAAGTGAATAATTGACATAATCGATATAAACATATTACTAATTATTTGAATTTTTTGGATATAAGAAGACAAGCAAAGGGAATAGAAAGAAAATATCAACCTTTAGTTATCTTAATATCGTAAGTTGAGATTAATTTACCCATAAAAAGTAGCTTCATGAAGAAAAGATACCTATTTTTTTCCAGTTCTTGCCATTGAATTGCTGAACAGCTTTACATAACGTTTCATCCTAGAAGTGAAGGAACAATCCATCAAGCTACGAGTAAATCAAACATAACATGCAGAAACACAATATGCAGAAGGGTGCAAATGTGACTGCAAACAACAAACAAACTTGAACAGAGATAATTACAACTATAAGAAGAACATGGGTGTGGGTGTGTGAAGAAAGATAGAGAAAAGAGAACAGAAATTATAGAAGCAGAATGCATCTTGCTGCAGAATAAAAGCAATCTACACACAGAGGAAGAGGTATCAAAATGCAAGCATTTAGCTTAAGAACCATAAATATATCACAAGATTCGAATGCCATTTTAGAGAAAAACAAGATCAACAAACCGGAACGATAATGAAATTAAATTGATGTTCAAGTGGATCCTATGACCCAAACTACACGCATAACAATCTTACACAACTGACTCAAAGATAAACGACAGTGAAGCACACATATGACAGGGGGTGGGCATAAGAGAGCAAGAGAGCTAAGTATATGAAAATTAAACAATCAGAATCTTTGTTAAAATGGAAAAACTTTTCATTACCGGAAGTAGGCCAATCACAGAATCTTCAGACCATCAGGTGCATTTATTTGTAAATAGAAATAAGATGACGAAAATAGCAAGGGATGAACTGAATCATTTTGAAGCAAAAACAGTAGCAATATAAGAGGACATGAAAGACCAGCATGCATGGACAACAAATGAGAATTCCAAATAGTTGACAAATAAAAAAAATGTTTACATATGCTATCCTTTCCAAAACATACACATTGAACATGTACATGAATACAACAAAATGAAAGAGAGTGGGGGGTTTGCCTTGGAGAAAAACCCGAACTACATCATCATTGAGGCCAAGAGCATATATATGGTTTCTAAAATAAAGTAGCAAGAGAAGAAACAAAGATATCACACAAACAGAACTGGGAAAAAATGTCTGCCATGATGAAAAAAGTTTTATCATCATTGTTGTCAATACATATATCATGAAGAATTGACAAGTCATGTGCTGGAGATCTTAGTGTAAATAAGTACAAACTAAGCATTCCATAAAATTTATACAAGGTCTAGAAGGGTTCTTTTGACAATATCAAGAGGATACCTCTTCTGCAGTCCACTGCCCCTTTGTCGAACGCCTTGTAGGACCACTTGTCCTCCTACAAGCAGTAGCATGCTTTTATCAATTGTACAAGGCCTAAGAGAGGTTCTTTCAATTGAATTATATGATAAGAGTGATAACATATAGAAGGTTTGGTCTATGTATTTATGAGTCAAATTTTCTATAATTTCATATCGTTATACCCATTTAGAGATCGCATTTTCTGAAGTCCTTTGCTGAGGCCATCAGAAGATACCGTCATTGTCAAATCGCTTTCCATTGCTGATCTCCCTATCACATACCCCGGTTCCTGCTTGCTTGTAACTCTCTCCGTACTGTCCCCCCCAAAGCATTATCAGTATTGAGGGACTGGGAGAATAAGCTATCTGCACAGTATTTTCTGGTAGAAGAAAACAAATAAGACCCTAATGAGCTTTTCAGAAGCATAAATCACACAAGGAGAAAGGGAAAAAAGTGAAAGAATTGAACACAGTACAAAAAGAAACACATAATCCTGTAAACTGCCAGTCAATGAAATCATACATGTGCTAAAACACGCCTCAATCAACCCCGTCCCAGCTCCACAAATTAGCATTCTACACCCGATTACTAATAACTTACTCAAATTTTATGCAGATGGATAGAAAGTGGAGGAATTGCAGTCATCTACAAATAATTAGCTAAAAACCTAGCATTTATAAGAACGGGAAGAAAAAACCCTAATACATCAACAAAAGGAAAAACCCAACGATTTCAAACGACGCGGAATAAATATAAAAATGCAAACTCATCGTATCCATTCTTGTGTGATAAGACGAGAATTTTTCAGATTAAATCAAGTAATTTGATACTATAACTCCAAAAGATGCAAAGTTTGTAAGTGAAAAAACGAATTTCAAAACGCAAATGGGGCTAAAAACTTACAAGCGAGTTCAAAGACGCCAGCCACGAAATCAGAAGAAGAAAGAACCCAAGGCCCCGATAGATCTGCGATCACCGGCAGAGATGAGAGCCTCTGAGAGAGAGAGAGAGAGAGAGAGAGAGAGAGAGAGAGAGAGAGAGAGAGGAGAGAGAGCAAACGGTCTATTAGAAATTCAAAAAACCAGAGGGGGGGCAAACAACAGTTCAAATCCTATGCGTTAAACTTAAAAGGTCGAGCATCTTCAAAATGGAGACTTTGAATAACTTTTATCCAAGTCAGCTTTAATTATAATTTTTATCAGCATTATAATTTTTATTTTTTTCAGATTTTTGTTTCTATAATTTTTTTATTTTTTTTACAGCATATATATACATATTAGTTGTGTACCCGTACAATACGGCGGAAGCCGTGAATTTTAATGATTTTGAAGCTTTGGTGGTTTTGTTAGAGGAGAGTTTAACGATGATATAACTTACACTTGGTCTTTACATAGTAATACAATTTGAATAAATAAGAGTTATGGTTTCAATTACAGTCTATTGATGAAAAAAACTGTATGACTGTTTAAAGTTCAATATATTTAAACCAATCCAACCTGATATAAATATCTATTGAAAATAAAAAAATTAATTTGAATTTTGCGTCTTGGATTAGGAATATGGTTAAAGTGTTTTGATGATTGTTCAAATATTACTGGTCCTCACCATATTTATCCGGTAAGGTAATGTGACTTGTTGTTCACTTACCCAAGTAAGCGTTGGGTAAACAACCCCTTAATCATATGATATTGATTGACTATGTAATTTTAGTTTGAGTGTCATTTAGTGCTATGGTAGTATTAGCATACACAACGTGAGAAGCAAAAGATTAATTTGTCAAAAAATAGAGTGTTAGATATAAGTGTTGGCAACGGACAACCATAAGTTACATTACTCTTTGAATCTATTAAAAATGCATTTGATAATTTAAACTGAAGCAAGGCTGGAAACGCTCTTAGCTGTAGGTAATATTTTGTAACTGATTGTTGTTAACAATTGGGTTCAGTTATTTTTTTTTTTAGATGAAAGTTAGGTTTAAGCGAGAATAAAACTTATGGTAAAAGGGTAAAAAAAATTATTTACATCCTTAAACCAGTTCTGATTGAAGATTAACACTAATGAGACGCACCGGATCCGTTCTTACACTTAAACTTCACTTTAACTTCTATTCTCAAACAATCCTTTAAAGATGGGTTGACCGAACTCACTCGAGAACAAGGATTATCTATACTATATTATAAAGCATTTGACAAAAACTCTTAAAAATCATTTTTTATGCATGAAGTACTGTTTATTAATGCATATTACTTAAAATTCAAGATTACAAGTAAATTGTGCCTAAGTACAACTTATTAAAGCTTCATGTTTGAATTCGTGTAACTAACTGCAGATAAACATAATCAAACAGAGGATAAACATCTCATTTTAAATATAAAAAATCTAAAATATAATTAGGACAATTATTGAAATCTAACAGAATACTTAATTATCATCTTTAAAAAAAATATTTTTTTAAACCAAAAATAAATTAGTTCGTTATTAAACTTCAATTAAATTAAATAATTACACAAAAACGAGTCTTTTTAAATAGTTAATTTGATAATAATATCGATTATTTTTTTAAAATTTTTATAATATCATTAAATTTATATTTTATTTAAAAATAAAAACATTTTTTTTCTCAAAACCACGTAAAATCGTATTATTCCATCGATAGACCCAAAATATAAAGCAAAACATTAAAATCAAGATGTATCTCGCTGCATTGCGCGAGCACCCTTCTAGTATTACTAATTCTCAAGTCTAACCGCAAAAGATGGAGACGGATGGAATACTTATTGATATAATTTTTTCAGCAACAAAACCCAGTGGTCATTACTAATATATGAAACTGTTCATTACATACCTTATATTACTAATATCTGAAATTGTTCACTACAAATTACTAAGATCCGATAACATCTGAAACTGTTAACTACATACCTTACTTCCAAAACCCAAATTCAAGTTTTCAAATCATAATCAAAATCAACCTCCCAACATAAACCTCACTCACTCTTCTCGCTCCCTTTCTTCCAAACTCCAAAAAATTAACACGTTATCAGACTCACTTGTTATCTTCTTGATTGCTATGAACCTTTTCACTCTAGAAAGTGATTGCATTTTTGCAAGTTCAAAATTCACCATGGAAGTCTTGTTTTGTATATCATTTTCTATATCTACTATATTTTTCGATCCATTTTCAATGTTTTTCTCAAGTAAGAGGGCTGCACTATGTATTCAGTTAACAAGAGTCTCAACTCGGGTTTTCCTCTTCTTACTACCTCAACTTGAATCTTCTTCACTTCACATATCTATAACATTATGTACATTATGGATACTTTTTGTGTCCTCTGATTGTTGTTCTTGGTCTTCTAGATTCACTTGCTCTTTCATATCAACAACATCCCTAACTCTAACTCCTTAAGCTCTATCTTTTCCAAAAGCAATATACAGGCATTCAAAACGTGGAAATATCTTGTTTTTCCATTTTGCCGCCTCTTTATGTACCTATTTCATGTCATAAAAGTTAATTAGCAAAGATATCAAATAATAACTACAAATATATCATGAAATATACAATGAGCACCTTCAGGTAAGACTCCCAAACTGGTGCTTCGACAATTACACACTATTTCAAACAATCATAACCAAACCCACTCGTGTTTGTCCCATTCACACATGTCATGGACCACTTGCCAACCCTTTTTCATTATTTTAATTCTTGACTCAATGTGTGGTTTACCTAATATACTAGAATCAGGAACTGATTCTTTTAACACCTTTTTTAGATATTGTAAATATCCACATTTAACGTCGTTATCAACTTTAAATCCTCCAGTATTAACCATGTTAACCAAAGCCTCACAAGTTTGACATATTCAATAGTTGTCCAATTTCGATAGTTTCTATTACGACTTCGATCAGCCATACCTATTGTTAAACAAATTAAATAATAAACAAATAACATGTAAAATAAACATGCAAATCATAAAATCAAGTTGTAGCATTATTAATCATAATATTATGCAACATAGGTATCAAATTCATTACAAACCATAAAGATAAACTTCTAGCATTACAAATCATAAAGGTCAATGTGTAGCATTTCAAGATAAACTTCTAGCATTACAAATCATAAAGGTCAATGTGTAGCATTTCAAGACTCAAACATATGTTGTGCCAAATTATTTCAAAATGCAGTCCACTCAGTTGATGTCCCAATAAAACTGACATTGTCCACATCTTGGTCTCTATAATCTTTGGTTGTTTCGTCTAATCCATCATTCTTAAATAGATCATTTGGCATTTCTCGCCTGATATGATTATGAAGTAGACAACATGTCATTATGATCATGTCTTTCAGTTCAGTGTGATAGTAAGAGTTGTCGATCCTCTCTCTTTAATGATTTGATGACGATCCTTTTATGTATCGAAATGTATTATTTTTGTCATTCACTTTCAGCGATCTTTACTGAGTCTGTTTAGTGATTGCTGAACATGTATTGTAAATCATTCAGAGACCAATATACTTCAAGAAGATAAAACTCACACCATAGATCCTTCAGCGATGTCAAAGACAAAACTTGGAGATTAGAGACCAGCAAGTTCACGATCTGAAGCGGTTTTCAGTGATAACAAGCTCACGTACACAAGTGCAAAGTCTATGCAAGATTCAGTGAACACTGATGAGATCTTCAGCGTCATTCCAGTATTCAGCGATCAAATGAATCTTGTCGAGCAAAATTATTTTTGTATTATCTTTCTGCACATAAAGTACAAACCCATACATTTCTAAGTATTGTACAGTACGGAGCCACTCCTTTGACTCTAAACGTGCTTACCTACTTTATGAAAGAGGACTGTTCATATACAGCCAAATTGTTTTTGTATTGTCTTTCCTCTAACAGCTTGTAACGTGCTTTGTATCTTCTGAATTGCATTTAATGCAATGGGTATAAATTGTTGAATGGTTCTCCTCTCAGTTATCATCGTCCTCACTCAAAACTTGCCCAAGAAGTTACTCCTTTCTTGACTCTGTGTCTAAAGAGGACATTTCTTCTTTCCTTATTTCTTGTAACAAATCTTTTCTTATTGCTATTTGTATTTTGTGTGTTTCTTAGATTGTTTAGGTAGGTAAAAAAGAATCGATTTAATACATTTCATAGAATTTATTTATATGTGTAAATAAATTCTATGAAATGTATTAAATCAATTCTATGAAATTTATTTCTAAAGTACAAGAATCGAGGAAGATTAATATAGTAAGACAATATGAAAGTTTTTTTCATGGAAAAACTGAATCTTTGTCTGAAATAAATCAACGACTTAATTGTCTTCTTATTGATTTGAGGACAGTTGGAAGAGAATATTCCAACTCAGAGACACTGACAAAATTTCTTAAATGTTTGCCAGAAGCATGTGATCAGTATACCATGTGTCTCAAGATGTCCAAGGACATATCCTCCCTTTCTCTCAATTCTCTTTATGGGATATTGCTTAATCATGAGCAATCTTGTCAGCTGAAGAGATATATTCTCAAAGAATCCAGGGAAATGAAAAGCTCTCTATTAGCTTTGATCTCTAATAGCCTTTCAACTAACCCTTCGATTTACTTGATTCCTTCCATTTCCTTTGTGTCTATCACTGAGTTAGATTCTTCTAACTTCGAGGGCCTGTCAGACGCTGATCTTTCAGAGTTTGATAAATCTCTGGCCCTTCTAACTAACTCCTTCTGGAGGTTTTCCAGAAAAAGTAACTACTACAGATCTCCTTCGCTGACCTTAACTGAAAATCCAAAGTCAAACCCCATTGACAAGACTTCAGCGAGCTGCTACAACTGTCAACGCAAAGATCACTTTGCGAGTGAATGCAAGTCGAAGAAAACTGCGACGCCATCTTCCAACCTCCCATCCTCCTTCCGGCCTTAAAAGGACAATTACCTAAAATTGAAGGAGAAGGACAAAAAGATGAAGAATCTTCAGCGTAAAGGCAAAGGTCTTTTTGTTGAAGAGC